CTTTGCATTTTCTTTTGCATTCTTGCATTCTTTGTGTGTGTCTATCCATCACTTGCTGGAGGAATCAAGAGGTCGAAGCACTCATCAAAAAAAAGATCAATAGCTAAACAATTCCTTAAGATCCAAGATCATGTCAAGAAGCCTAGCCCCAACAAGGGCATTCCATACAAGTGGTGTCATATAGCCACCAAGAGAAGAAAGACACGTCAATAGCAAGACGAGATAGAATTGAAAGAGGAAGAATAAGCAAGTCTATAAGCATGAAAAGGCCATCGCGTCCTACTCCTCAACCGAATGAAGGATGATCTAAGAGAATGCCAAGACCAGGAATGACTTCCTAACCAAACCTAGGAGTGGCTTCCAAAATAATACTCATCAATAAAAATTCAGCAAATAACATCATGGGAATAGATCCCTCCACCAATGATGACAATAAAGAGCAAAAGTAACATGAAAAAAAGACAAAGCTTCGTAAATGTTGAAAAAGCCAAAGCATTTAGAAAAATAACAGAAAAATGCAAGCTTCAAACATGAAAGAGCTGAAGCTAAACAAAAATGAAATTTAGAAAAAACCCTACCACAAACAGCACCTGGAGAGGCATCACAATACTCACATGGTAGGGACAGTACCAGAACCCCTGTCACCCATTTACTCCTTTTCCCACCATCACAAGGGCACCACCTACCAGCAATCCTCGTGTTCATCATATGTCTTCCCCAAAGAAAAGGGGCAATCACATCATCATCACCGACAGGCAGCCTGGAGAGGCTAGCCATAACAATACTCAACATTCAGTAGGTAGCCTGGAGAGGCCAGGCATAACAATACTCAGCATTTAGCAGGCAGCCTAGAGAGGCCAAGCATAACAATACTCACCATTCAGCAGGCAGCCTAGAGAGGCCAAGCATAACAATACTCACCATTCAGCAGGCAACTTGGAGAGGTCAAACATAACAATACTCATCATTCAGCAGGCAGCCTAGAGAGGCTAGGCATAACAATACACAACATTCAGCAGGCAGCCTAGAGAGACCATGCATAACAATACTCAACATTCAGCAGGCAGCTTCGAGAGGCCAGGCATAATGTTGTGTATTATTTATTTCCGACCCGGACAATTTTAGGGGTCTACACTCTCGTTGGGAGAACCTCCTCCATGGTTGACAACCCCTCTTCATCCGACACCACCAACATCAACAAATTGCTTGAACAGATCCTCCTTGCTCAAGCAAACTTTGCTAACACATTACACGATATTTCTGCTCGCACATCCGCCTTGGAATCCCATTCATCATCCAAACCCCCACACCACCCTTCCACAAGACCCATAAAACTCGACCTCCCCACCTTTGATGGCTCTGACGCACTGGGGTGGATTTTCAAAGGCACCCAGTTCTTCGAGTTTCATCAAACCCCCACCGATCAACGAATTCAGGTTGCTTCGTTCTACCTCGAGGGTCCGACCTTGGCTTGGTTTCAATGGATGTTCAAAAATGGCTTGCTCACATCTTGGGAAGCTTTCCTTCATGCTCTTGAGCTTCGTTTTGCTCCTTCCAAATTCGAAGACCCCATTGCTTCCATCTGCAAGCTTACACAGACCAACACCCTCCAAGAGTATCTTTCTAAATTCGAAACACTTGCTAACCGCATTTTTGGCCTTCCCCAAAGTTTCTACCTTAGTTGCTTTACCTCCAAACTTAAGCCACACATCCGTCGTGAGATCTTGGCTCTACAACCCCCCGATCTTCCCCATGCCATTGCTCTTGCGAAACTGCAAGATGACAAAAACTACACCACACCTTCCCCTTCCTCACGCTTTGCTCGACCTTCACGACCTCCACCTCCACCCCAAACACAAACTACCTCTCCTAAACCCCTTCCACCACTCTTACCCACACCTCCTACCAAGCTTCCCATCAAACGAATCACCGAGGTCGAAATGCAAGCCCATCGTGACAAGAACCTATGCTATAATTCCGAAGAACGGTACACCTGGGGGCATCGCTGCAAATCGCAATTCCTTCTTCTCACCACGGTGGACATCGATGACCCTCTAGAGGAGCTTGTCGAGTTGATTTCTGATTCCACTAATGACCCACCGTTAGAAGCGGGTCTCATCAGCCTTAACGCGCTCACTACAAGAAAATTCGCTATTACAAACGGCCCTTAGTGGTGAAGTTCTTGGGTTTTAAACCGTGGTTGGCAAGGAAATTTTTGCAATTGACTCATGTATGGTCAACGAATTAATTATGTACATTTTAGCATATACATTGTTTACTTAAAAACCACCAAAAGAAATATAAGTTTGACAGTATATCAAAATGTAGCGTTTTTATTCTGATGAAAGAACTAATTGTGATATGGAACAAGTAGAGTAATGATGTAATTTATAATCCCTTGATTAAATAACATGGAGTTGTTTTTAAAATTTAAATTTTAAATATACAGCTATAGTAAATACTTAGAAAATAAAATAGTTATTTATAATAATCCTATTCAATTTAAGCAAGATTGTTTAACTATGTTTAACTCTACAATCACACCACAAAAAATATCTCCCTTCCACTGCTATCTCTTTTCAGACAATAGGAGAGCTAGGAGATGACATGAATTTCCTGTTGCCCAAATCCAAACATAACAACCATTTTCTCCATCAAGCTTTGTCAAAGATCAAATCATGAAAAAATAGGGATGGTGTCAACGATTTCAGGCTAATGAAAGGTCACCTAAAAACTACATGCACTGAAGAATTTGTCGTCAAAGAACCCTCAAGAACAGCATTCAAATGCATCATGTCCCACTACCATCTCTATACTGGAAAGTGTAAGAGCACTGGTTGTTCTGACTGGAACAGCTGGCATCTGATGATTGTATTCAATTATATCAAAGTATGAGGGTATATTATTGATTTTACTGTTTTATAAACATGATAGTATTGAATTAAAAGAGAAAAATGAATTTACCGAAAGCTCACTTGTCTAGGGACAACCACTGCAGGAGCTGCAACTGACACAGGGAACATCATTGCCAGTGTCAATGTGCAAACAAATTCTGCTGGAATACCCAATTGCACCCTTGTAAAGTGGACCCGGACCATTAATTTCAAATTAAAACAAAAACAGAAGATATAATGCAAGGAAAAAAACTGACAATTTGGGTGTGGAAGGAAATTTGGACATTTTCTTACCATTGTATAAAAGTAAGCTATCTTTGTCCATTAAAAAAATTGTGAGAGTTGAATTTTGTGAATGATTTAAAGAGCTTCAATCATAGATTGCAGCTATCCCAACAAGAAAACAGAATTAGAATTGAGGCCATGAACACATTAATAAGATATGACACTAATTGATTGCATTTCAACTATACAATCTTCAATATAGTTCCAACTTGATATTATGCAAGACGGAGAAATAAAATTCAGGGTTTGTTTCTGCCTGATGGGTCTTGGCACACGGACCCTGAGGTAATGAAAACTGAAGCAGTCAGGTTCTACAAGGAGCTTTTCTCGGTTAACAACGACCAAGGGTTTCTAGACATGCAAGCTGGGGTTCCACCTGGCCTGGGGGTTGAAGCCCAATCTACCTTAACGGCCCTAGTCACAAAGGAGGAGGTTTGTCGGGCGGTGATGAGCATGAAGTCGTTCAAGGCACCAGGGCCGGATGGCTTTCAACCGTTCTTTTTCAAGCAGTATTAGCCTATTGTGGGAGATGAACTATGGCTAATAATATGGTTATATATTTAAATAGTTTAATTTTAATAAAGGGAGAAGGTTAGAAAAAAAATGGAGAGGGTTAGAAAAAAATGGAGAGGGTTTGGGGCATGCCTGTCGGGAGCCAGCCACCATCGGAACCGCCGGATGGGGGCACTAGGGGCTCCAGGTTGAGTCAGACAGTGACCTTCAAGGAGAAGGTAGTGGGTGCCCTGGCTAAGCGGGTGACTGTTCGAGATCTTATTAAGGAGGGGGCTATGACGTTGGAGTTTGAGGGCGGGGATCGTTTGCTACCCAAATTTAGTATCGCGGCACCCACGTTGAAACAGTTGTGTGAACCATGGGAACAATGCCTTGTGATCAAGCTGCTTGGGAGAAATGTGGGGTTCTTAACCTTGCAGGACAGGCTACCTGCGTTGTGAAAGGTTCAAGGAGGCCTCGAGTTGCTGGACGTGTCAAATGGCTACTTTATGGTGAAGTTTTATTTGGAGGCGGACAGAGAATGGGTCATGCACGGGGGCCCTTGGATGCTCTTCGATCACTATCTGATTGTTAGACCATGGTCCCCGGAGTTCGTAGCTTCAGCAACGAAGGTCGACAGTACTCTTGTTTGGATCAGGTTCCCTGGTCTCGGGGTTATGTTCTATGATGAGAGTGTTCTCCTAACAATTGCTTCGGCCATAGGGAAGCCAGTCAAGGTGGATCTTAATACTTTGAGCATGACGAGGGGACGGTTTGCACGGGTCTGTGTCGAGATAAAGTTAAATGAACCAGTCGTGGGGAGGTTTTTTCTCAATGGTGTTTGGTATAACGTGGAGTACGAGGGATTACATTTGTTGTGCTCGTCGTGCGGCTGTTATGGACATGTCCTACGGAATTGTCCGCATGCAACCAGGCCTGAGCTAACAACACAAGGCGTCGGTGAGCAGGAGGTTACGAAGCAGCAGTCGGGGGAGCCACCGCATAGTGCTGTTTCGGTTGCTTCAATGGGCGAGAAATCAGGCCCGCAGGTTAGGGGGGATATCGCGCCTGATCCGCATGGGGATTGGTTGATTGTGAAACGACGAAATCGGAAACATAATATTGGAAAGCTGTTTAGCAAGGGGCGATCTGCATCTCATAATGGGACTACGGATTTTAAGGAGCGGGATCGGGATATTCCAGATAACCCCACGAAGGGTGGGCACCTTGAGACCGCATCACGTGAGAGGTTTAATAACCCACGTGCAGTGACGGTACCTCCACGAGAACAGGGCCATGCAGCTGGTTCCTTACATGATGATGGGGGCCACGCACCGAATTGGAATCCTCCAATTATGGGATCCAATATTGAAAGAAAGAAGCGTAGTAGAGGGGCGGAGCTTCATGAACACTCACGGCCCATTCCAGCTAGCGCGAACATGGACTCCGCAGTGGACAAGAATAAGGCCCGAAGCACATACACCCATCCTTCTCTTGGTGACCCACATGTGCACGAGGAATTGACGGGGGACTTGCACCGGGGTACGATTACAAGTGTGCCCCACCCAGGATATACGAGTAAGGAACGTCATGATGACGAGAATAGCGGACCGGAGATTCCAGGGACGGAGGATTTTATGCAATATGAGCAGCCATTGAAAGAGGAGACCATGATGGCGTGAGTATCTGCCGTGTCTTACCGTTCTTAATGAATACAAACTTTAATATTTTAAGCTGGAACATTCGAGGGGCTGTTAATGCCAAAGGTAAAAGGAGGGTTTCGGAGTTAGTAAGGCTCCACCACCCGACTATTTTCATTGTTTTGGAGACCCATTGTTAGTTTTCTTCGGTGGCAACCTTTTGGAATAAGATGGAGTATAAGTTGTGTTTTAGTATTGAGGCTACGGGGCATTCTGGGGGTATTTGGGTTTTGATGGCAATGTCTTGCTCTGCTAATCTATCTGAGTTTGCCGCTCACTCTCAAGCCATATCGTTTACAGTTGTGGAAGGAAGCAAGAGCTAGGTGTGTACCGCCGTTTATGCTAATCCTCGAGTGGGACTCAGACAACAGGTTTGGGATCATCTACGAGAGTTGGGGGGACGGATTATGCTACCATGGTTAGTGCTTGGGGACTTCAATGAAATTATGATGTCAACGGAATGTCAGGGTGGTCGATTCTCGATGGCCAGGGCATCACAGTTCATGGAGGTTTTGAATGATTGTAATCTTCTTGACATGGGGGCTAAGGGTCTTCGTTTTACTTGGTATCGGAATCAACGTGGGGTTGTGATAGCGAAGCGTTTAGATCGTGCGGTGTGCAATGTCGCGTGGCAAGCAATGTTTCCAGAAGCGTATGTGGAGAATCTGTGCAGGGTCTACTCTGACCACTGCCCTCTTTTACTGCGGCGCGAAGGCTCAAGGGACAAGTCTCAGGATCGACCCTTTCGGTTCCAAGCTGCATGGGCCACTCATAAAGATTTTGAGCGAGTTGTTAGGGAGGCGTGGTGCCGTAGTACGCCGACCCTTGCTAATGGGCTACAAGTTGTTCAGGTAGACGCCATCAAGTTCAATAAGGAAGTGTTTGGGAACATCTTTACTAGGAAGAAGGCTCTCGAACGACGTCTCAAAGGGGTACAACTACAACTTGAGAGAGGGGATTCAGAGAGTCTGTCGCGCTTAGAAAAGGCCATACAAGCAGAGCTGGATGAAACTTGTCTTCATGAGGAATATCTATGGTTTCAGAAATCTAGAGAGAAGTGGGTGAAGTTTGGGGACCGAAATACATCCTTCTTCCATGCTCAAACTCTCGCGCAAAGACGGAGAAATAAAATTCAGGGTTTGTTTCTGCCAGATGGGTCTTGGCACACGGACCCTGAGGTAATGAAAACTGAAGCAGTCAGGTTCTACAAGGAGCTTTTCTCGGTTAACAACGACCAAGGGTTTCTAGACATGCAAGCTGGGGTTCCACCTGGCCTGGGGGTTGAAGCCCAATCTACCTTAACGGCCCTAGTCACAAAGGAGGAGGTTTGTCGGGCGGTGATGAGCATGAAGTCGTTCAAGGCACCAGGGCCGGATGGCTTTCAACCGTTCTTTTTCAAGCAGTATTAGCCTATTGTGGGAGATGAACTATGGCGTACAGTGAGGGATGCCTTTCGTTTGGGGTTCTCGGACAGTTCACTCTTAGAGACACAGATGGTGTTAATTTCGAAGGTGGACCACCCAGTGTAGACCCCTAAAATTGTCCGGGTCGGAAATA